GGGGTCTGGTCGGCCTCCAGGGCACACCAATGGGAAGGAGCCACGGGAAGAGGAAGGAGATGGCTGGTCCTGGCTGGGTCACTGGACAGCCTTGGGCAGATGACTTCATCTTTTGGTCCCCAGTCTATTTAGCTGTCTCAAAGTGAGAGAGCGGGCCCTGGAGGGTTGTTAGGTGGGTAATGTACTCAGTGCGACTGACTACCCACCCCCAGCAGCTCCACTAGGGTAACTCCCCTGTCCCCAACTCTCCCTAGGGCAGCTCTCCCACCTCAGGTTCCTCCAACAAGCTCTGAGCACAGTCTGGGACCTGGGACCTCAGGAAGAGTAGGACTGGGGCTCCTGGTTGGGGAGGGATTCCAGTGGTTACTGACCCTGGAGCCAGTGGGAGAGTGGACAGGGCCCTGGGAAGGCCTCTGGGACCAGGGTGGGGGGGCCAGGACACAGCTTCCATGAAGCCCAGCTCTGTCTGGGCAGCTGACATTTTCCTGATGCCACATGGAAGAGCTGGGAGGCAGTGTGGGAGAGCCAACTTGAAGGGCAGGACTCCCGGAGATGAAGCTGCTGACCTCATGGGGGGTGGAAGGAGCCAGTCTCTCTGAGACATCCCCTTGTGTCACATTCCAGCATATTTTCCGGGCTTGTGCGTGGGAGTGGTATGGGGTGGGTGGCCAGCACAAAAAGTTTCTCTGCGGCTCAGAAATCTTTGAACCTATAATTGGAGCGATCACAGCCAGTCAGTGCTGTGAATTGGAGTTTAAAGGAACAACCCCAAAGCACTTTTTGCCCTTTCGGCTGCAAACTGGGAACTACCCCAGGCAGCAAAGACCTGATTCTCAGAAAGAGCCTGCCCGCGGTTGTGATGTTACACGAATGGCTGGCACTTTCCCCTGCGGTTGGCTCAGGTGTGTGCTCATGGACCGCAGAGCCAGCCCAGCCCTGACCTCGGAGGGGGAGGAGGTGCTTATGCCGCCAGCTCTGTCTGTTCAAAGCAAAGCCTCTGCAGGCATCTGGTCTTTTGGAGATGTGAGCTCTTTTTGGCATTGCTGCAGGAGCTGGCAAGAGGGTCAGCTTGGGACAGAGCCCCAACGGGAGGCAGCCCTCCAGGGTGTGGGAAATGGCTCTGGACGCCTGGGACATTGCTAATTTGGAACTACCACCCCCAGTTAACAGAGGGACCTTGCAAGGAGGGGTGCGGGTTTGTCTTTCTCACTTAGGACCCGGCATGAGAGGAGAGGCCTCCATCTCCCGGCCTGCGTGGGTGGGTAGGGGTGGGCTAGCTGCATCAGGAGAACACGCTCCATGTGAAGGGATTCTGCAGTTGTTCCTGGGCCCAGCTGATGTGGGGACTTGGGACATAAGAGACCATCTGCTCAGGCCTGTGCCTGCCCCCTCACTCGACAGTGTCCTCCTTGCCCTCAGCAACCACCATTCCTGCTGCTCCACCTGGCCCCACCAGGTTGCATTTCCTCCCCCTCAGCCACCTAGAGGGGTATGGTTGGTCCCAGTTCCATACGGGCTCTGCTGGTAGGTGCACACTTCAATTAAGGAGAGGGTGGCAGGTGACAAAGATTCTTTGTTTGACCAAATTTCAGTCAAGCTCCTGAACCTTCAGCTAGACCCACCTGTGCCCTTCCTAGTAAAATCCTGTTGCTTTTTTTTATTGTTTTTTTCTTCTTTTTTAAATTATTAGTTTCAGGTGTACAAAATAATGTAGTAGTTATACATTGCACTCCTCACAAAGTGATGACCCCCCCCCAATCTGCTGCCCCTCTGACTCTATTCCCTAAAATCCAGTTTTAACAAAAACCTTCCACCCTCAGTATTTGATAAAGTTCTTGATTCCCCCTCCCCCCTCCCCCACCCCAGGTGGTGTCTGATCATCAGCCTGCCTTCATCAAGAATCCTGGTGGGTCCATTTAACCAGAACCTCCCTCACCCCTGATGTTTCCTGTTAGTCATTTTCCATCCATTGACCCCACCTGTTCCTTGGCTATTGTAGGGGAGAAAAAGTTTTCCTTGATCCTGGCTGAGACTGAAAATCAAACTGACAAAGAATGATCAACAGGAGAAAAGCATACACATTAATTTTATGTTTCACGTGACATGGAAGATTTCATAAGGAAATGAGGTCCCAGAGAAACAGCTGAACCTGAGTATTTCAGGTTTGACGGGGAAGGTGACAGGTCACGGAGTATGAGGTTGGTGCAGTGTAGTGGGGGAGCCTCGCAGGTCTGGTTGCTCCCTTGTCTTTGGATAAGGGTGCCCCTTTCCCCCAGGCATGGGGGGCGTTTCTCACATAAGGTTTTGATGGCCTGTTGCAGGGGAGCAGGGAGGGGTCCGTGACCCTGTCCTTCTGCTGTTTTCTGAAACTCCTTCAGCTTAAACCGTGCCCAGATGCCATACTTTGGGATAATGTGTCCTGAACCCCATCGCTGTCTGTATCCACTTGCCCATGCGGTCATCAGAATTGAGCCCAGGGCTGGCCAAGTGGCGCAATGGTTAAGAGCTGACTTGGGACGCCAGAGGTCCCTGGTTCGGATCCCACATATGAGGGCCAGTGACACTGCCCTCTACAGCTAAGATGCTGAACAACAGCTCAACCTGGAGCTGGGCTGCCCTGAGTTGCCGGCGTCGGCGTCGGCTGCAGCCCCTGCTGCAGTGGGTTGCCATGGGCTACCGTTCCCATATGTAGCCAGCAGCCAGCGAGAGCTGCCAGCAGTTGCCGTGAGCGGCCGTCCAGAAGCCGGCGACTGATCTGCTTCGCCCGGGAAGAGCGCAATGATGGTGCCAACTTGGGCCAGTGAAGCAATGTCCTCCACAACTAGACTGAAGAACAAAAGGACAGCAACTTGTCTGTTCCCCCCTTCCCCCAATTCCCCAGCGCTGTTCCCATCCCCACAATTCCCCAATAAAAAAAAAAATCTTAAAAAAAAAAATTCTGTTTAAAAAAAAAAAGAGTCGAGCCCAGCATTCCCCACTGCAACTTCTCATCGCAGCAGGCCATGCATGCAATGTGATGGCTCTGAATAGTTTGCCGATGGTGCCCATGGGAATAGGGATGCAGCTCCGGGCGGATGGGAGGGCGATGCCCAGGAGTGGTGTGGTGGTGTGAGGTGGCACGTGTGGAGCCGTCCTTCAGCCCTGCACCCCGACTACAGGTCAGTTGCATCCTCCAGCCTCAGCACTGGCCTCACTGTGCCGTCTGGAATTCTTGACCCCATTGCATGACTCGTAACCACCTTCAGGTCCATTGGGATGTCACTTTCTCAGTGGGGACTTTCCTGCCTCCCTCCCCCACCCCTCTGCCCAGGTGTGAGCTGGGCTCCTGTAAGTGGAGGGTTATAATCGTATGCACTCATCCCGGTTGGTGGGAGGCATCAACTAATTGACATAGGTGAGACTTAGCCCAGCCAGCAGGTGGCAAGTGTGTGTTACTACCACTGTTATTGTCAGTATGTGGGTGATGTGTGGTGCTGGGCAGGGGCCATCCAGAACTTCCAGGCAGGGAGGGTCTCCCACAGGGGGCATCTCAGTTGATGAGATGGGGGGAGGATCCTGAGAGACCACCCAGGGCAGGAGGGAGTTTCAGTCTCAGACTAGATACAGAAACGACCTCTGTGGACAGATCACGCCCCATGAATGATACCCAGGTGGGCAGCTGACTGGTCCCCGAAGCCATTCATACGTCATTAAAGCTCATCAACTCATCACATGAGCATTTTATCAGGAATGCTAATTTCATCCCAGAAGGAAATTCTGCCCAGCCCAGGTGTGGGACAGTGTTTCCTTTCTGGTGCTTTTAAGGAACTAGAGCTTGGAAAGCGCATCTTCTCCAGCAGATCCAATGTTTGGTTCCCGAAATGGCTGCAGGCAGCAGACTGTGGACTCAGGCAGCCAGGACCTGGGCGCGACAGGCTGGGAGGCAGCTGGCATCGCGCAGGCACAGGGCTCGAGGAAGATGGTCCTCTATCCAGAAGACCTGACCGTGAGCACAGGTTCCGGATCCGAGGGGCTGGGTGGTGCCGACCATCTGTGCTCTGTAATTAAAACTCATGTGAGTGCAGCTGACTTGCTGGAAACTCCTTGGTTTAAGGAGAAAGAGGCATCCAAAGGCTGAGAGAGACAGGAATATATTGTACTTGACTTGTTTAGTTGTCCCCTCATTATCCTCCGAGAGGGCCTGAGGACACCCCCTCACAAGACATCAGAGGTGTACTTTGGAGTAGTGGGGGGGGGCAGCAACAGCTTTGAAAGGCTCTGGGGAGGCTGGCCTCTGTAGGGCAGAATGAAATGGAGTGAAGAGGTACTGGGTGGCAGAGGCCATGTGGCCAGGCTGGCGTGGTCACCACGATGGTCAAGAAGAACGGTGTGGTCTAGAGATCTTTGGCTCATTGGTCATGGAGTCACCCTTAGGACAAAAACAGGGCAGTGTCAGTGCAGGTGGGCGTGGTGGTGGAAAGACCCTCGTCTCAGGATCCTGGCCCAGACTTGACTCATAATGCAGGAGAGTCAGCTCCTCCTCCAATTCCTGAACATGAGTCATTCACAGACCAGAACCCCTGCCAGAGGGAAAGACCTGGCGGAAACATGCAAGGCTGGACTGTCTTCCCCTGGCCTCCCCCGCAGGGAGATGCCGACTGCCCAGGATGGCTGTGCCTTACAGGGTGGGGGTGGGAGGGCGGCAGCGGGCGTGGGGTGGGGGGACCCTCAGGCTCTCAAGGGTTGTTGGTTCCTGGCTCTTAGCTGGTGTCACTTCCTAGACTCTCTGATCAACCACTCCCACCACCACCACCAGTCCACTGATCAGAGGGGGACTTTGGAAGTCAGATGAGACATGCGTTTTGGGCCACAACAGACACATAGGGTATGTGACTACCGTTAATTTCCCGGTTCACGTATCATTTGGATAGATACACCGAGCAGATGGCTGACACTTCCTGCTGACCCCAGCAAGGTCTCTTCAGCTGGGAAGCCCAGTGGAGGCTCCAAGCTCCCCTCCCCTCCCGGCGTTGAGAAAACACCAGCCACTTTGACAGCTAACCCCCAAATGTCAGTGACTTGGTACAATAGATGTTTGTTTCTTGCTCACAGAGAGTCCCATTTGCAACATGGGCAGGGATGGGGGAGAGGCTCCCTGCTCCACACAGTCAATTAGAAACCCAGGCTGAAGGAATTGCTGCCATTTTTGGCATGTGGATTTAAGGCCATCCTGGAAGGGAGAAGAGCACGCATGCAGCAGTAAGCAAGAGGCACTGTGGGTCAGGCCTGGGAGTGGCCCATGTCATTTCTGCCCAAGTCAATCCCAAAACTCCGCGATGCGGCCCAATCTAGACGCAAAAGGGGCTGGGAAGTACAGAGCTGGGCTGGGAGGTGTGGTCTGCTGGAGCCAGCAGTGGGGGCATCAGCTTTCTGACATCTCAGTTTGCTGACTCTGGCAACAAGAGTAACTCCCTAGGGGACCTGTTCTATGGTAGTGTTGGGGATGAGTGTATTTCTAGAAGCTCAGACTAGATGTTTCTCTTTCAGTCCTTTCAATGACTGTAGGCATGAATTCCGTGATTTAAATCCCTTTCTGCTCAAACTAGCCACACATGCGTCTGTAATCCACACCCAAACCCTAGCTTTTACAGTCAGTGAGATGAGAGAGAGGTCACGGAACTGGGAGGCCATGGTGTGGGGGGTGGAGATGGGTGATGTCAGAACTTGAGTGAGCAGGCAACCCATGAGCAGGGCGCCAAAGTCCTCAGGGAATGAAAACACGGTTGACCAGGTGGGACCCATCTGATCACTGCTCTATTCCTAGTGCCTCACACTTTAGGGGTTGTGTGTGTGTGTGTATGTGTGTGTGTGTGTGTGTTAAACATTTTAAAATGCAGAATATTCTTCTGTTCATTTATGCATTCATTTAATATCTGTCCAGCAAAAAACATCATTATATGTTCTGTCTGTGTGCCTGAATAAGAAAAACAATTCCAAAAATATAATCTAAAACTCCTCTATTGCAAAGCACTTGGAAATGCTGACAAAAATATAATAAGCATTCTTTTAAATGTACAGCTGACCTTGAAAGAAAGCAAGAGATATCCCCAGAGACAAAAAATGAAGTGGAAATGAAAAGCAACAGGGTAAGCAATTTAGATTCTCACACAAAGTCAGGACTTCTAAAGACCCATAATTTCAGTGCAAAGCTAGAAAGACTAGAAAAAAACCCTGCTTTGCAGGAAAGAAATGAAAGGTTTTGTAATGACCTCACCACAGATGGGAATGAAATCTCCCTCAAAATTCATAAGTATAGATTTACCTTCAAATGGGTGTGGGTTTTAAATACATACTACCTGGTGGTGTGGAATTAGTTGAAGTGGTTGCAGATTAGCAGCAGTTAGGTGCCTGGAAGAAGCAAATACACATCTTCTCTGGAGACCTTCAGTCTCAGCTCAGTGCCTCCAGGTTCCCACAGACTGAATTAGCCAAACATGAGATCACAGTCAAATCACAAAATATATAGGTATGCTAAAAATATTCACAGAGATAAAAGATTGAAAACTTGAACAAGGAATGAAAAACTACTGGAAAGAATCAGAAAAAAAAAAAGAAAATAATCTGATAGATTTGAAGAGGAAGAAAACATAATTTTAGAAAAGAAAAATATAAGAGTTGAAATTTCAATGGGCAGGTTAAATAGCAGACTAGACACAGCTGAGAATTATTGAACTACAAGATGAGTCTGAAAAAATTACTCAGAATACAAACTAGACTAGGAGATGAGAACCCTTTGTCAAAGTTAGAATGAGAAGGTAAATCATATTTAAAAATTTTTTAATCTTTAAAAAAATTCCACACAATTTTATTAAATATACTTATAATGTTGTGGGACCATCACCACTATCAGTTTCCAGAACTCTTGCATCATCCTAAACAGAAACCCTACCCATTAAACAATAATCCCTCCCCTCTCCCCCGACCCCCACCCCTGTAACTTCCATTCTGCTTTCTGTCTCCATGGATCTGTATTCCAGATACTTTATATAAGTCAAGTCATATACTGTTTGTCCTTTTGTGAATGGCTTATTTCACTTCACATAATGTTTTCAAGGTTCATCCATGAGGTCTAACATATGTTTAATAGGAGATACTGAGGACACATAATATTCAAAAAGATAATAGCAGAGAATGTCCAAATTTGATGAAAGACATAACTCCTTAGATTCAGGAGCACAACAAATCCCAAACAGGATAACTAAAACTAAAACACCCAGACACAGCTTGTTGAAACTGAATATTAAAGATAACAGAGTCTTAAAAGTAGCCAGAAAGTACAAATTATCTATAGAAAGAATAGCAATTAAAAACGGTGTGTATTTCAATGGCAACAATAGAACCCAGACAACAGTGTAATTGTAAGTTAAAAATGTGGAGTGTAAATAACTGTTAAGCTAGAATTGCACACTCAGGGGGCCAATGCTCGTTGCCTATTCCAACATGCATCTTGCCTTTTTCCTTATTCACAGAGCCCTGATTTTATAGGGGCAGCCATGTGCTCACCTAAGAAAGAACCTCATTTTCTAGCCTCACTAGCATCCAGACCCACTTCTGGTTAATGAGATGTAAGCAGAGTCATTGGTAAGGTTTCAGAAAAGCTCTTTAAGAGAGTCAGACATCTGTACATAATGAAAAAATCTGCATACAGGGGTTAGAAGGAAACTTTCTCAATCTGATACAGGGAATCTATAAAAAAACCTTCAGATAACACAGTGGTGAAATACTGAACATTCCCCCCTATGATTGAGACTTCTATATAACACTGCACTGGTGGTCCTAGCCATTGTAATAAGGCAAGACAAATAAATAAAAGGCATAAAAATTTCAAAAGGAGGAAGTATTTTGCTATTTGCGGATGACCTGATTGTTAATTGTTAATGTAGAAAATCCTAAGGAACCTATAAAAATGATACTGGAACTAAGAGAATTTCGCAAGGTTACAGGCTACAAAGTTTATATACAAAATCAGTTGTGTTTTTATGTACTAGCAACAAAAAAATTATAAAGTGAAATTTAAAAATTTCATTTGCAGGGGCCGACCGAGTGGCTCAGTTGGTTAACAGCTCACGCAAGAGTGCAAGCTCTGAGCAACAGCGGTTTGATGCCCGGCCTGAGCTGAGTTGCCGCTGAGATGGCTCAGCTAAAAAAAAAAAAAAAACAAACCAAAAAAAAATTAATTTGCAGTAATGTGAAATAACAAAATTCTTAGGAGTAAATGTAACAAAAATGCACAAGAACTCGACACTGAAAACTACTAAGCCTTGCTGAGATAAATTAAGGGAGACCAAAATAAATGAGAGGATATACCATGTTCATATATCGGAAGAGTCAATATTTTTAAGATGTCCATTCTCTCTAAATATATTTATAGATTGAATGCTATACCAATCAAGTTCCCAGCAGGTTGTTTTTGTAGAAATTGACAGCTTGATTCTAAAACTTATACAGAAATGAAAATGTCCTAGAATAGCCAACAAAATTTAAAAAGCACAAAGTTGTAGTATTTATGCTATCTGATTTCAAGATTTACTATAAAGTTATACAAATTAAGACAGTGTGGTATTGGAGGAAGTATATAAATATAGATAAATGGGAAAAGGATAGAAAGTTCAGGAATAGACCCACAAGTATGTGGTCAACTGATTTTCAACAGAAATGCAAAGGTGATTCAGTGGGAAAGGAAAGTCTTTTCAAAAATGGTGCTGGGAGGTCCTAGGACTCAAAAGCATACGGAGAGTAGAACAGTGGATCCCAGGGGTTGTGGGAGGGGGAGGAGAGTGAGTGTTTAATGGACACAGAGATTCTGTTTGGGAAAATGAGAAAGATCTGGAGATGGGTGGTGGTGATGGCTGCACAACAATGTAAACGCACTTAATGACCTGAACTATACACTTAAACATGGTTAAAATGGTAAATCTTGTTATATATATTTTACCACAATAAAAATACTTTAAAATAATTTTTTAAAAAAGATTTTTATTGGGGAACTGGGAGAGGGGAACAGTGCTGGGGAATTGGGGGAAGGGGAACAGACAAGTTGCTGTCATTTTTGTTCTTCAGTCTAGTCGTGGAGGACGTTGCTTCACTGGCCCAAGGTGGCACCATCATTGCGCTCTTCGGGGGCGAGGCAGATCAGTTGCCGGCTTCTGGATGGCCGCTGACAGCGACTGCTGGCCGCTCACGCTGGCTGCTGGCTACACACGGTAGCCCATGGCTACCTGCAGCCTATGCCGTTGCCGGCGGACTCACGGCAGCCCAGCTCCAGGTTGAGCTGTTGTTCAGCATCTTAGCTGTGGAGGGCAGTGTCACTGGCTCTCATATGTGGGATCCGAACCGGGGCCCTCTGGCGTCCCAAGCCAGCTCTTAACCAATGCGCCACTTGGCCGGCCGTAAAATAATGTTTAAAAGTGGTCTGAAACAGTTGGACATCCACAAAGGGAAAATACAAACATCCATGTTTTCAGGACATCACAAACAAAACTTAACTTTAAATTAAATCACAGACCTAAACATAAGTGTTAAAACTACAACTTCCACATGAAAACACAGGAGAAAGTTTCTGGGCTTTTGCAGTAGGCAAAGATTTCTTAGGACACACAGAATATGAACAATAAAGGAAAAAATGGATTTTATAATAAAGAAAAACTTTTGTTCTTTCAAAGAGACTATGTGAAAGTGAAAAGGCAAGCCACGAAATTAGAGAAGTTTTGCAGTACATCTTACAAAAAATTTGTATCCAGGTTATATAAAGAGCTCCTAAATTTCAATAAGTCAAATTACTCAGTTTTTAAAAAACAAAAGTCCTGGGCTAGAGGTACTGCTCTGAGGTTCACAAGGTACCAGGCGTGCAGTAAGCATTTTCCCTCCACGTCTCTCATCTCGCCCATACAGTGGCCCAGGAGGCAGGCACCTTGCTTTGTACCCAGCACCTGAAACAAGGCCAGAATGAATAAGGGTACGAAGCAATTCCTGCCATTGTCCCCAACTTACAGAGCATATACAGCGACACAGGGAGGCTAAGAAGCTTTCCCAGGCCACCTGGGTGTTTGGGGCTGAGCTGGGATTCTATCCAGGCAACCGCTCCAAGACTAGCCCCCTTCAACTGCTCCGTGATGTGGACTTTCAACCGAGAAGGGAAATTTATTGGCTCTTAAAACCAAATGCAAGAAAAGCAGAAGTGCTATTAGATTCCAGGGACGAAATTTAGGGACTCAACCCCCTTCAGAACCATCCTTGTGTCCTGCATCTGTATTTCTCTCAGTGTTGCTTTCTTCTCAAAGCTGGAATCTTGGGCACCAGTAGCTGCTGAGTTCACATCTCTCCTACGTATCCCAAGACTGGAAAAAGAGTTTCTTTCCCCACTTCTGAGAGGGGCTGGATTCTCACTGGCCCTGCTGGGATCACAGGCCAACTGCCATGGTTCAAATGCTGATTTCTGTACTGACTAGCCATATGCACATTTGATGAGTTAAGTTACTTGCTCTAGTTTGCTTTTGTTTCCTCATCTGTTAAATGAGGACAATGACGGGGCTTGCTCAGTAATTCTGTAATGACTAAATGAGTTAACACATGTCATACACTTAGAATGACATGTAGCATTAAAAAACCTTAGTGAGTAATCTATTTTCGTAACTCTGATTGCATATTTCTTTTTTATTTAAACGATTTTCATAAAGCCTTGTGGTGGTCTCTCTGTAGAGTGATAACCAGTGCTTGTCTCCATCTTCTTTGGAGTCTGAATTATTGTATATTACCCTTTGTAGTCCCCATGGCCACCAAACCAAGAAAGTAACATAAAAAAACTCCCGGGCTAGTGGTACTCCTCGGAAGGGATACATCTCAGCTGCTCAGGGTTCCCTGATATGCAGCCCCAACTGAGTTCACAGCCCAAATAAAAAAATTCTACCAGAAATAATCTACCATGAGTGACAGTCAGTAGACAGCACAAAGAGCAGGATTAGACCACCAAAAATTTCATAACATGGAACTATTGACTAGAAATAAAAAGTAAATGTTTTTGAAATGATTAAAGACAGAAGAAAATGTAAAATTGATTAAATTAAACAAGACAATAGAAAGAAAGAGCTGGGCAGATTTGATAATGTCCCAGAATAGGGTTTCTAGAAATAACATCTATGATTATTGAAACTGAAAGCTTTATGGAAAAAAAACCCCCCACAACTCTGTGGATGGGATTAAAAGCAGATTAAACACAATCAGAGAAAGAATTAGTGGGATGGAAGTCAGAATTAGGAAAATTATCCAGAAAACAACACACAGAGAGAAAAATCTTCAAAGTATTGAGAAGAAAATAATTGTCAATTTAGAATTCTACACTGGCTTAAATTATCATTTAAGAATGGGGGTGAAATAAGACATTTCAAAGGCTGAAGGAATTTGTCACTACTAGACATTATTTTTAAAAAATTTCTAGGGCTGGCCGAGTGGCGCGTTGGTTAGGAGTTGGCTTGGCACGCCACCTCTGAGCAGCAGGGCCCCGGTTTGGATTCCACATGAGGGCCAGTGACGCTGTACCCTCTACAGCTAAGATGGTGAACAACAGCTCGACCTGGAGCTGGGCTGCCGTGAGTCGCAGGCGATGGCGTAGGCTGCAGTGGGGCTGGCCAACAACGGGAGTGAGCTTTCATGAGCTGCCGTGAGCGGCTGTCCAATGGCCAGCGAGCAACCGCCTCACCAGGGAAGAGCGCAATGATAATACCAACATGGGCCAGTGAAACAACGTCCTCCAAAACTAGACTGAAGAACAAAAGGACAGCAACTTGTCTGCTTCCCTTCCCCGATTCCCCAACGCTGTTCCCCTCCCCCAATTCCCCAATAAAATCTTAAAAAAAAAGAAACTGATTAACATGTGGCTATATCTAAACAAGCATTCATGTGTGATAGCGATAGTAATAAGATAATTAATTTGGAGGTCAAAAACGACATGGGCAAAAGCCTGTGTAATGAGGAGTGATGATTAGTTAAAATATTCTAAATTCTTACTATTACATGGAAGAAAGGTAGAGATATTAATGAACTTGAGACTTTGTTAATTATGTATGTTGAAAATATAAGTGTATTTATGAAAATGATTGAAAGAGAATGGATCACTTCCAAACAATGGGAGTTTAGGAAAAGGGGAAAAAGGAAAACTTGGTGAATTGAATAGAGGACAGAAAGGGAGAAAACAGGAGCATAGAGAAAAAGATAGACAACACAAAATAAGATTGTAAAAATAAGTTAAAACATATCACTAGCCATAATAAACACACCATTAAAGGTTGAAAATAGTAAGATTTGTGTTTTATTTTTTTTTTAAATCTAGCTACACATATTATTTACCAGAAGCACATCTCAGTATGTAAGACATAGAAAGGATAAAAGAAAAAGAATGGAAAAATATATATATGAGGTTGATAATCACACACAAAAAGTGCTGTGGCTATATTAATTATTGGAAAAAACAAAATTAAGGCAAAAAATTGTTAGGGATAAAGGGTGGTACCATATAATGATAAAAGGAAAAATTAGTCAGGAAACTATAATAATCCTAAACCTCTTAGCATTTAAAAACAAAGTCACGAAATAAGCAAAATTTCATGGGGAGAGAGCTAAAGCCACGGTCATACCAGTGGGGTTTTAACTCACCTCCGTTGGTAATTTATAAATCAAGGAGATTGAAAATTAGAAAGACACAGAATATTTGAATAATACAACTCACAAGCTATCAATGGAATATGTATATCCTTGCATCCAATAATTGCTTATTGAACAGATAGGACAGCTTTACAAAAATAGACCATGTATATGGCCACAAAGAAAAGCCTTCATAAAATCTCCAAAGGTCAGCACTGTGCTGACCACTTTCTCTGACCACAATGCAATAAAATAGGAAATCAGTATGCAATGGTTAATCCTCCCTCCAAGAGTATACATTTGAAAATTTAAATAAGCATATTTTTTCAATAATTCCCAATCCAAAAAATATATATTGATATTGGAAAATCAGAACAAGATGAAATTAAAAATACTTATCAAAACTTAAGGCATGGGGGCCGGCCGGGTGGCTCAGTTGGTTAGAACGTGAGCTCTGAGCAACAGGACTGCCAGTTCGACTCCCACATGAGCCAGTGAGCTGCGCCTGAGCTGAGCTGCTGCTCAGCTGCCAACAGGCAGCCAGATGGCTCAGCTGGTGAGAGCACGTGCTCTTAACAACAAGGTTGCCGGTTTGACTCCCGCATGGGATGGTGGGCTGCACACACCCTCCCACCCCCCACAACTAGATTGAAAGCGGTGACTGGACTTGGAGCTGAGCTTGCACCCTGCACAACTAAGACTGAAGGACGACAACTTGACTTGGAGCTGATGGGTCCTGGAAAAAAGACACTGTTCCCCAATAAAGTAAAAAAAAACACACAAAACTTAAGGGATGGGACTAAAGTGGCACTTGGAAATTTACAGCTTTAAGTGCTTATTGTCAGAAAAGAGAAAGACTAGAAGTAGAGTTATGTGTGTGTTCAAGAAATTAGAAAAGGAATCATAATAAAATAAAAGGAAAAGCAGAGAAAAATAAACAACACAATAAAACAAATAGAAAATAGAGATGATTAACAAAATGAAAAGCTGATTCTTTAGAAAAAGATTTCTATTCCTAGAAAGATAAAATTTAACAAATCAAACTCAGGATGAAATAGGACCTACATATACTGATAGATATTTACGACTAGAAGCAATAAAAAATTTACTGGGCTGGCCGAGTGGTGCACTGGTTAAGAGTTGGCTTGGGAGCACAAGCTCTGAGCAGCAGGACCCCGGTTCAGATCCCACATGAGGGCCAGTGACGCTGCGCCCTCTACAGCTAAGGTGGTGAACAACAGCTCGACCTGGAGCTGGGCTGCTGTGAGTCACCTTGAGCTACTGTGAGTGGCGGACAGCTGGCGTGAGCTGCTGTGAGCCACCGACCAAAAGCAGGCGAGTGACTGCCTCATCCGGGAAGAGCGCAATAATAATACCAACATTGGCCAGTGAAGCGACATCCTCCACAACTAGACTGAAGAACAGGACAGCAACTTGTCTGTTCCCCTCCCCCAATTCTCCAATAAAATCTTAGAAAAAAATTTTTTTAAATAAAAATAAAAAATTTACCCACAGGAAAGACACTCGACCCGGGTCAACCGAGCACCCAGGATTCCTGCCTCATGCAAAGTGCTCTGGAGTTGGAGAGAGGGTCTGATCTGAAGAGAGGAAGCTGGGTGTGAACAGCTTACAAATGCAGATGGGAGCTTTGATTTGTGCATTGAGCACCCACAATGCACCAGGTACTCACTGTCCCGGGGCCTTGGGCATCCATGAGACAAACAGGCAAAGCTCCCTCTGCACAGGGAGCCCACCTGCTGGAAAAGACAGATACTAAACAGTGAACAACTAACAGGTGAGTTACAGTGCATCAGAAGACAGCAGTGCTGTGGAAGAAAGACAAGTAGGTCAGAGTGAGGGGTGGAGGCCCATGGGGTGGGGGTGGGGGTAGGGGCGGCACTTGGGGAAAAGACTGTAGATTCGGGGAAGAGGAAGGGCAGGTGGGGGAGGGTCTGACAGTGAGAACCACCCTTCTCCCCTGGGTTGTCATGGAAACCAAGGGGAGTGAGGGTTCAAGGGGGACTCAGGTGAGACAGGAGAGAAAGCACAAGGCTGCCTGTGGGGCTAGGCCACTGTGGCTGAGGCGGGAGGGGAGGGGAGAGGTAGGGTGGGCCGCAGGTGAGGAAGTGGGCCCCAGGAGTGTAGCATGGTGCGATGCAGGAGGGGTCACACCTGAGCTGAAGTGAGGCTCAGATGAGGCAAACGACCTCGCCAGGGGGGCCGGTGATGTTTGGGGTAGCGAGGGTGGCAGAATGAATGCTGGATCTTTGCTGCGGCCTGTGGGTCTGGGGGCAGCTGTGGGGTGGTGGGCTGGAGTATCCACCATGGGTTTGCCCTGCACCAGGCACTGTTCTGTGTGTTTTGCCCACATCAACCCCCCCAGACCCTATGAAGGGTGTGTCTGAATCCTTGTGGGAGGATGTGGGGAAGAAGTGAGGTTGGTGAGAAAGATGGACCTTTCTGGAATCTTGGTCCTGATGGAAGGAGTGAGGCCATGGGGTCTGGCGAACCCTCACCTTCAAGGACAGACTAGAGAGCTGAGGGGGCAGGGCTGGGCCGGGCAGGAGGGCAGGGGTAAGCAAAGGGTTCTGCGCCTGGGAGGTGGCTTCTGGGGGACCTATGAGGGGGGGTGGCCAGGGGCTGCTCAACGGCATAGGGGCTGTGAGGAGGAGGCTGGGGTCTTTTATTCTCAACAAAATAAAGGGCAAAGACAGCCCTGCCCCTTGGTTTCCTCCTCGAAACCCACCGCGTTGCAGGGACGGAGGCCGTGATGTGGGTACAATGCTTCTGGGTGTGTTATTTTTGCTGCTGCCGGGGTGGTGGTGCTGGGGGAGTGTGCAGCTCGGATTCCTTCGTTATGAGCCCATCTTACGTGCCAGGCTCTCTGTGGAACCAACGCTGAGCCCAGCTGAGCCTGGGAGACCACGAGTGTGTTGGTTGCTTGTCAGCAAAGATGTGTTCTCCAGAGAGGCTGGGCAGCCATGGCGCAGGGCTAGAGTGGGGAGGCCCGGGCAGGCTGAAGGGCCCCTGTGAGGTCCAGGCTGGGTGGGCAGGCGGGAGGGTGGCCATCCAGGCCAAGGGCAGCTTTGCAGGGAGGTCTCAGAGGCCTCGGGCTGTAAGTCCGGGTGTGGAGAGGTGCCGCCTCCTCCCTGCAGCTCCATCAGAGTCAAGGACTCTGGTGAGGATGTCCACAGCCTGGCAGCGGCCCCAGGAGGTGAAAGGCTGGAGGCTGGGAGTAAAGGCAGGTGGCGGTGGCCGTGGGAGGGGTGTCAGGGCGGCTGTGGGTGACTTGGGGGGGGAGGAAGCAGGAAGGGGCAGGAAGATGGTGGAGACACTGAGGGCGGGAAGCATGTTTCCTCTCCAGGGCTGGGCCAGGAAATCCAACCTTCATGCTTCCCAAGGTGCTTCCTGCAGATAAGTGGGCTTCCAACAGCCCCTTCCTGCTCCCCCCTTTCCCCACCCCTCCCATCCTGTCCCAGCCCCCAGGGACCCTCCGCTCCCTCACTCTTGCCAAGCCAGTGGCCTTGGGAAGAGCCTAGACAGGGTGGAGGCCTGGACATCAGGCCACACTTCCCGGCAGGGAGGGTCCAACCGGCTTGGGGAGAAGGCAGGACGAGACCCACAGACAGCGCTGGACGTTGGGCTCTGCAGGGTCAGTGGGGTCCTGGGACACAGAGATTTTTCCTGAAGGGGTGGTGGATGGGGGAGGGGTGGGGAGGAGCGGGCCAGGCTGCCTCAGGGGTCAGGGCAGGTCCTTGGTAAGGGGGCCCTGCTCCAGGGTGGAGGCAGAGGGATGGGTATGGGGGCGGTTGTGGTGAGCAGGTAGGGGTCAAGGTGGCTCTGTGGGGAGCTGGCTGTTCTGGGAGGGGGCGTCTGACACTGTCCCCTGTGGGACTAGGGTGTTTCCGGGTTGCCTTGGGGAGGCGGAGGGAGGTTTTCTGTGTGTGGGTTCATTCAAGTTTATTCCTGGGAGGCTCAGGAATACGGGGCTGCTGTTGCACGGGGGGGGGGGGGGGGGGGGGGGAGGTTGGGGTCAGCGCAGCTTCCCACCCAGAGGGTGTCTTGTGCTGGGCTGTTCTGTGAAGGTTGTCAAGTGTGTCCTCTGGGAGGGAGAGTGGCTCTTCTATGGGGGTCAGGGCCTGTCTTTCCAGGGGGAGTCAAGGCATGCTGGGGGAGTTCTGTGGGAGTCAGGGACTGTTTCTCCAGAGAGCAGGGATATTGGCACGTTTAGTGGCTTCTTTGCTCTCGGGAGCCTTGGAGGCAGTTTTCGCAGCACTGGGGTAGTTCTGTGAGGCTCATCAGGGTTGGGGGCGCCTGGCACGCTCCAATGGGGCGGTGGTGCCTGAGCTAGTTTCTTCACTGCGCTCCCCTGTCCTCCGCCCACTCATCACCCCCTCCCGCGTTGCCACGACAACGCATAAAACTAAAATTCACTTCCCCGTCGCAGGTGGAGACTAGTAGCGCCCCCTCCCCTAAGCCCTTCCTCATAGGTCGCGCCCCCATCCTGCTGTCGCTAAGGTGACGGGGAGGGGGCGACAGGCGTTGGATCTAGGCGGACCTGGGGGCCAGGGGAGCCAGGAGAAGCGGGAGGAGAGGCGGGCTTCAGTGTCCGGAGCGAACTCCCCAAACTCGGCTAGGGGTGGGGGAGCCGCGCCGAGCACTCATCGGCTCCGGCAGTGGGAGAACACCAGGCCCCTCCCAGCCCGAGGTCTCCACCATCCTGACCCCAGGACTGGGGCAGGGTCGGTCCCTTCACGTCCCCCGGGCCTCGAGTGGGGCGGGGCGGGGTGGGGAGGTCGGCCGAGTGGGGGAGAGGCCGCCACCCCCGGAAACTCATTCTGGTTTTGTCTCCCCTTCCTGCGCTGCCTGTGGTCCTCGTGCCCGACGCGGCCCCCACCCCAGCTCGGGGACTCTCCCGCCTCCTCGTCCCCGGTGGTCCGCGGAGGCTCGCCGCTCAGTCAACCCCCGAGGCGAGGCCCGGGGCTCCCCCCGCCCGCGGCGCGGCCTCCCGCACGAGCCCGCCCACCTGACCCCGGGACCCCGCACAGGCCCCCGCCCCCGGCGCAGCCCGAGGCCGCCCCCGCGCCTCTCCCGCCGCAGCCCCTCCCCCTTC